GATTAAAAATGTATAAAATGGTCAAAAAAATAAAGAATTTTTCGAATTTTTTTTGATGTTTGCTTCGTTTATCCATCAAAAACTATTAACCCTGCTAAAAGTACCCCCTGCTAACAGTCTAGTACCAATTGCCTTACCGCTTCAACATCTTGCAGTCGATTCATATGGGGGCTCAGGCCACCGTGCATGCAGGCGATCTGAATGTTTGGGCGTAACAAGAAGAACCAATCTTTTCTAGTTACCTTATTCCCAACCAGCGCGCACACCGGTAGACAATCAAATGTCTGGATGAAGTTGCGCCAAATCTGAAAAAGGCCGGTGTGGCGAAGGCAACGGTTGGTCGCCTGATATCCCTGGATTTCCGGTTGGGAACTTGCGGATACCCTCGTAGAAGCCGTAGTTGAGGGTGGTGTTGGCCTCTTCGTGGCTGCTGCGCAGCATGTGTACACGGGTCGGGTAGCGGTATTGCAGAGCGAGTAGTAGGCATACTGTCTCGATTCCCTTAAAAGAACTTTTTTAGGTTCTTTTGCACTATCGGGGGGGGGGTCGGGTCGAGGACAAACTTTTTTTATAAATTTTGATTGAAAAAAATGCAAAAACAGATAGATTTGGGCCAAAAAATGGCCGATTTTCGTTCTAAATGTCGACTAAAATTTTTTTATAACTTTTAAGGTTGTTTTTCCACTTTAGATATAGTAAGAAATTTGACTAAAAACATATTATAACACCAAGTGCAGATGCACTTTGGGGGTGGGCAGTCCAAAAATTGGTAGTAAGGCGGAGAGATGCCCGCTTAAGTTATTACTTTGTTTTGGGCTTAAGTCGAGGCTTAACTTAGCTTTAACTAAGCTTACCTTAAGCTTAGGCTTAAGCTTAAGCGCAAGCTTAGCTTATCTTGAGCTTTAAATTGCCTCAGGAGGTCAAAATAGGGTCATTTAGGGCTAAGCTTAGAGCTAAACCCAACCCAGCTCAAGCTAAGCTCAGGCTCAGTTGGCATGAAGCTAAGCCTAGGCTTAGGTTTGGCTTAGGTTTTCCAGAGGCTTCGAGTTTAAAAAACGGCATTTGGAGCGTCTTGTAGTCAAAATCCGGACTGCCCCCCCCCCAAGTGCATTAGCACCTAACACTGACTATCACTTTACTAAAATTAGATAAAGCTTTAAAAATTCGAAATTCTGGTCCAAAATCCATATCTTTGCATTTTCAATAAGCAAAATTTTTACCGTAGTTACGTTTACGCATTATAAAAAAAGCTTAGAAACATTCCCTCGATTGACACTACAAAAATTGCACAAAGGACCAGAAAGAGCTTTTCAGGGGATTTGCTCTAATGAAGATTCCGTTACGCACCTGTGTGCCACGATCAATATAATCCCCGAGTAGCAGATACGAGTGCCCATCACCCGGCCAACCGTTCGTGTGGAAAATCTGGGATTCTTTGTACTCTTGTCATTCATTTGCCCCTACCCGGCGTAAATGGATGATGTTGCTGTGGATGTCCCCGACGACGGTCAACGGCAGCTCTTTTCTAAAACGAGCTTTATGCATGCTATTCGTCTCTCAAACTCCGGGATTCTGACGATCATCTTCTGGCGCATCAAGCTCTTCCGACCCAGCGCCAGCAGTTTTCCGATCTAGACTTTCGAACGTCTAGCAAAGGTTGTTGGCTTGCCTCGTCGGCGGTGAAGCTCACGTCCAGATAGCTTAAGGTTCCGTCGGGTTTTCCCTTCTTCTGAAAGAAGTGTGAATCTTGTTCCTGGAGCAGCATCTCCCTCACCCCGGGCACTTTCTCGGTGGCCACCTTCGCCAAGAAGATGCGCTCTATCACTTCATTAACGAAGCCATGATCCCAGACTTCGGAGGGAAGAATCTAAGATGGTTTTGTTCAATAATTTTATAGTTTTAGATATAGAAAGTGTATATAAAGTTTAACATTTTGCAGAAAAGTTCAGGTTACACTTTACTAAGTTTTTTTGGGACACCTTTTCTTGTTTTTTTTTGTTCTAAATATATCAAAACGCACAACAACATTGAACTTTAGATTTTTAAAAATGTCTTGTTGAAATTTTAGTAACCGAAAATCATTATTGAAAAGCCTCTAAAAAATACTCTTGGCACGGGATCCGTCATCCCAGGCGTCGACACCTCGGCACCTTCATCCTCTTCTTCCTCGTCGTCATCATCGTTCTGCACGGGTTGCGATTATGGCCGAAATGACGGCACCTACATCGCCCTCAGTATAGACATCCTGATCGCGCGCCATCAACTATGTAGAAATTATTGTGCAACGGCAAATACAATATTATGGTTTGAAGGTCGAAAATGGGCCGCGATCATCGGGTTTCGCTAGATACCTTGGGGCCGGATGTGTGTGGCTTATGCAAAGTAAATCGGCATGCAACAGCGCCGGGGTTTGTGTCCCTTTCGGACGTTTAGAAGGAATTCTGGGGGCGCCGTAGGGATCTACCGCTTACGCGCATATCCCAATCATCACTTACCTCAACTATATCCTCGCCGGGCAAGGGAAACACGCCGCCCTTCTAGCCGCTTACGACTCGAAAAGGCATAGCCTTTCGAATTAAATATTTTAGACCACAAAAACTGAACTTTAGACTACAAATTACCAGAAGTCGACACCGGAAACGTTTGCCCTCGTATTTTGGCGCCCTAATTCAAGTGTTTATGCCCCAACAGTAGCATTAATTGTAATTCGTAGCACAAAGCAAGCACAGAAACTTCGTTTATGAGCCGAAAAATTGTCGCAGCTCAGGCAAGGTTGTTTTTAACGCCCTCGGGACGATCAAACTTAAATGACTCCGAAGTCTCACCCTCACTTTTCGTCGACAAAAAAACTGCGCGCGCGTTTACAATCGGCAAAGGCGGCAGAAGATAGAAAAGAGATTAGAAAAAGTCTTTTTAGTTCTAGTTCTAGAAGAAAAAAGAATTTTTTTTTTGTTAGGATTAAATTAGATTTGCATGACACGTTACGGTTCCGCATTGTTCGCGCGCCGGAAATCGAAAATCAGCATAGGTTTCCCACCGCAATGAAAAGGCGCCTCTGGTTGGTGATAATTAACTAGATCAACAAATTATTTACGCTTAACTGGCTACAATTCGTCTACCAAATGACTTTGGTGAAGTTGCCCTCCTCGTTTCAACATGGATTTGCTTGCAGAACTTTTCATCACAAACGTCGGATCTGGAGCATGCGCGGAAGTCGTGGGAGGAAGAGGTGGCCAACGCCGCAGCCGCGGAGAGGTCTTGGCACGAAAAGGTACCACATTCTGGGCTGCTCCAGGGTGCGATTTCTAGCCGGATACCTAGCAAATATTTAGCCTCTTTTAGTGTATATTTACCAGCCAGCAGAGCCCCGCTTCGCACCATGCGTACGCACGCACCCATGCATGCAGCTGGACTTCGAGCTACCCCCATTCCTTCCTCCCCCTCGCCGGAAACGCGCGCCACCTGGCTCCCTATGTCCAAAATCCCCACAACCTCCTCCCCCCGACCCCTTTTACTAGGGAAAAACTTTCAAATTGATTTTAATAATTTAATCGAAGACTTTTACATAATTTTTCATCAGTTTGGGGGTTTCTGAC